AACTTAACGAGGACCCACGCAGACGAGCCAATTACAATGACAAGCCGCGGGAAATAAAGGGGGGGGGGGGGGAGCACCCGTGTGCGTACCAAGAATGAATGGGATGATGTGGGCGTCAGTGTATGCGAATGCTTGGAGTGAGTGTGATGGGGCGCCGAGTGCATGGAGTCTGCGTGAACTAGTTAAGGCCGGGGGCTCCCAGGGCCATTGCCCAGTGGGCTCTTGTCAATATAATTCGCCAGTGCGTGGGACACTTGCCAGTTGGGCGCATTAGTATGCATGCTGTTCCGTTTTTGCCCCAATTAAATATTGTCGCAAGCTTAAGGGTGGAAGTGGGGTACCGTGGTTAAGGGGGCACAGCCATGGGCGGGGAGACAGCCGTTCATGGTGCCTGACCGGATCCACCATCCCGCCAATGTTCCGGTCACCCGCTTCATCCTAGCTCTGTGGCTCACATGAGTGTGTGTTGGTGTCGGGTGCACCGGAGCCACAACGTGCCGAGCCGTGCGCTAACATCATCGGGTTCGTATGCCGACCAATGGGTTCCTCATTATAAATTCGCTCTTGTGGGACGGCGTGAGAGCGGCAGCCGGCGGCGTACAACATCCAGCGGCGGCCAGGCGGCCGCGCACGACGCCCACCGCAAAGACCCCCCCCCCCCCCTCACACTCCGGACCTAACACGGACTACACGCCGCTGTATGCCCCATCACACATCACGCTAATGATCTTCGCAATGTTGTTAATTGACCAACCTCTTCTCCGCTGCCGTTGCATGGGAAGTCGAGGGGTGCTGAAAAGTAAAATACTGCATAATGGCAGTCCAGCCATCAACATGAGCTATCAACACCATAAAAGCGCATTAACAGTACACAACGAGCAATACCATATACTTGGCGATTCGTCAGAACCCAGCCGTACAGCCATTCTCATCATTCCGATGCCCGGTTATGCACAGGCTATTAGACACATGATGGGTCATCTGAACTCGCAGCTACCTACCACAAATCAAACCAAGGTTAAGAACTTTATTCAAGGCCGGTTAACAATGCACGAATCACCGCCTCAATGCGTAACTAGTCATTTTCCGTTATTCGTCGTTTGCCTCCATGCGTGAGCCCCCGTATGGTGGTTTTTCCGTTTAGATCTGATTGGCGATTTGGATCTGATTTGTTGATCGGCGTACCATTTGGGTCTATGGCTGGGAATCTCCTTTACATATTCCGCACTGTTATTTCTACGTCTTATACAACCGGTGCCTCTTTGGCACGAGACATGCGTGCACTGGCCTATGATGATGCCTCTGCCCTCTCCCCACCCAGTCTCTAAGCGCACGCCTCTTCAAAATTAACGGACACGCACCATTCGCTCCCTCTCTCGTGACGCATCATGTTTAATGCCGACAGTATCATAATACTCTGGCATTTGACGGGGTGTCGCTACATACGGTCCGCTGCTAGACGCCTAACGCCTACTCTATCGCGCATCCTACTTCAAGAGAATTTGCAATAATCGCCACAAAACTGCTCTCTGCTGCCCTTGCCCTGAGCACACCTCCATTACTAAAGACTTCGTAAATCGGTGGAGCGAACTGTACTTATGCAAAACTTTTGCTATCTCATCCACGTTATGCATTCCTGTATCATTGTCACACATCCCCCGGTCTTATTCGATGCCGGGTTCACCGCAATCTGGCCTATGCTGTTACGGCGATCGATGGCCTTGGCAGATCAGCTGGTCGTTCGCGCCATTTTCGTTCGCGCCAAATCGCCTGTCGTCAAGCACGTGCACTTCGGCGTGTGTATGAATATGTTCCAATTGGTCGGGCGGGAGAAATTTCAAAAGCGTCGAAGCCAACCACCGGACCGGTCTGTGGATAGATCGCGACTTGGCGCATGGGTTGGTATTTGGAGGCGGGATCTAGGTGAAGTCAAGCAAGGAGCAAGCAAACATGGAGGGAAGCGAATATATCGCCTGCCATGGCTGCAATTATAGCAACATAACAACTAGCTTGTCACGAAGCATCATTGCTGACACTCGATGCAGCAATAACATAAAATGCATGACACAGCAAGAAGAGACACTTTCGAGAAGTTTCACAAGAGCACAATGCTGGCACCGTTCGCTAACGGGGACGCTTCTACCCGGAACGTAATTCACTTGAGCTACCATGACCTCTTAGGCCGCCACTAGACCACTCCTTGACGCTAATTCTGATGCATGACTTAGCCACATGTTCATTGAGTAGAGAAATGCATTTACATATATATATATATATATATATATATATATCACATATTACATACGTACATATATACATTTCAGTTAGCTCGAAACAGTTCTAAAATGGTGTCCTCGAATGACTGCACCGGAGGAAACCATCTTGATCCGTTTCAAACGGGCAGATAATGCTGGCGGTCGAATCGTAGATAATTCGTCTATGCTTATCATCGGTCATGATGTTTCAGAGTGGACTTAGCTGTTCCTCAATCATTTGGGACCATTTGCAAAAGTTTGTAAGTGCAGCAAAGTTTGATCATGCAGTGAAATTTAAACTTCATTGCAGGCGGAGTAAGGTTTGGTAAGGTTACAAAAACGCTTGGTTGGAAAAGTGATTCCTCGACTTGTGTTAGCAGCGGACTCATGGCCGGAGAAACGTGTCAGAAATGTGAGGGTCGCCCAACCTTATTTTGTACTCGAACGATTCGTGCTAAACATTCACGGAATGGGGGGGGGGGGGGGGGGAGGGAGGAAAACACCCATGTAACCGCCGTTCTTTCACCTTTGAGACAAAACACACTTTTATTGATTCCCACGTCCCAAGTCTGTTGTTTTCTCTGCTACGTCATGTGCAACAACCATAATTAATTTTGTATAGGGAAACACTCACTTTATGTTACACACATATAACCGCTCTCAAGCGTTATTGTAGACATTGCAGGCGGTTAAGTATCGCGTCGATCTGAAGCTGAAGTAGTATATATATATATATATATATATATATATATATATATATATATATATATATTACAACATGATTAAATGCCAGATAACATTCATCTGCTGTTCATTATTCAGTGAGGAACCGCAAACATTTACAGATATAAGAAGCCATTAACCTGTAGAGTTAAATGATGTTGATAAGACAATAGTATTAGCCTTATTTCTCGCAGAAAAACCAGGACAATGGGGATATAGTTCGGTTTATATTTCGGCAACATATCTCTATTGAAACAATAGTAGAAGTTTGCTACTGCTCTTGTTTTTTAATTGCTATTGCTATTGCTATTTGAAGGCTGCTTCTGCTATTGTTTCAATAAAGCATGTTGCCGAAATATCAACCATACTTTATCCCCATTGTCCTGGTTTTTCTCAGAGGAATAGGGCTAATTCCACTGCCTTATCTATGTGAGTAATGCTCCTCGCTAATGCACTGAACAACACGTAATTCTGAATGGTGTTGAAATCATTTTAAAAATGCTCAGAGAATGCGAATGCAAAAAAATGCAATATGCATCGCTGGGCAGATTACTACCGCCGACAAACACTGGTCATTAGGCACAAACCCCCAGCTCACGTTCAGGTCGACGCAATACCTACCCGCTTGTGAGCATGACACAAGGTTCGCATGCAGCTATATGTGAATGTCACGAATCGTGTGTTTGTTTGACAAATGTAGTGTAGTAGTCACGCATGTCGAGAGAGAAGCCATCGCACTTGGGACGGGGAAATCGATCACGTTGTGCCTTTTGGGCTGCTAGCACAGAAACGTGGGATCTCTACGTTTCATGGCACCCCGCCCCCACCCCTTCCAAAATTGTTGATATTTACCCTATGGCAACCAACGAAAAAATGAAAGGCAGAATGAGCATGGGCGGACACCTCTTTCTGAGCCGTTCTTCTGCATAGGTTTCGGCACGCAGCGCCAGTCCACATATTACCTTTCCAGCCAAGCACTTACATTTACCCTCCGGCCGTCTCATGTGAGTTCTCGAATTTAACTGCATGGCATAGCTGTTCTGCATTTATAAGCTATTGCAAGGTGCTCCAAATGATTCCTGGACACAACGTCATTGAGCTCAGTCCACTCTGAGTTAGCAATAGGGCCGGTGATAGCCGTGAGCGGACTCCTTACGTTTCGGCCGCCAGCACTATCTGGTGCTGGCACTATCACAGCACTAAGTGGCATCACCATAAGAATGTAAACCACGAGTACGTAGGTAGATGCACACACACCGTAACATTGTCCCGGAACGTCGTGAGCAGCGGGAAAACACAGCCCGAAAAACGTGTCCCACTGAAAGTTGTCAACTGATGACCGATTCATTCGTCCCAGTGACGTCATCAGTGGGATACAGGACACGTGATATTACGAATACCTGCTTGATTTTCAATGTTGTCATCATAAGTGGCTGGTGAATCCTGGTGATATTGTGAGAAGTAAAAGAAGTCCATTCTTTACATTTCTACCAGTGACGTCATGAGGAGCACAAAACTTGTCATTGGGATGATTTCCACTGCCTGGCAGCGACGTTTCGTCAGCTGATTAGCCGGTCCCCATTACAGATCTAGGCCGACGTTCTTCCCTCCGCAAACATCGTCGGCCGGAAGGTGAGCAACATCTCACAATTCAAGTGTCTTGCGACTGAGAAATGTGATAACACTTAATAGGCACAAACAGACCAAAGATGCGGCTAGCACAGCATTGCCAACTTTTGGTACAGCATCCTAAATCTGGTGTTAATCCGGATCCTGGCATACTTATAGTATGTGCCGATACCTACTAATCAAAACTTTGGAATACCTGGTGTTCTATTGCCTTGGGTAGAACCGTCCGATCCCAAGAATTGGCAACATCGAGCTTGCGTGAGAATAGAGGTAGTTTCGAAACAAAGTCTGCATAACGTCAAGTATACCATGTTTGATGACGTCAGTGGCACAGAAGTCTCTCAATTAACCAGCTGACTTCTACACACGCCATTAGTTTAAAAAGTGAGCATGTGTTGGTGGCGTGCGGGTGGCGATTGCCGGTGGGACTGAGAAGAAAATATCCATCATTTCTCTATTCGCACACATTTCTGGAATGAACAGTGAGTCCTGGAACAGTTTAGCCTGATCAGAATGTACTATTTTTGCATGTATGATGATATAACACGGGCTTTTATGTCATGCGGCGTTTGTGGTGTATTGCATTTCATGACCAGGCTTGTCCCAGGCTGTGTTGTCGTTAGATAGCTTTAGGCTTGTCTGTGCCTTTTTTGCGTAGTGGCAGAGTTGAACAGCTCAGCTTGCATAATTTGTTCTCTCTATAGAGGCTTCTTTTACTTTTGCACCTGTACGGCCGACGGAGGGAAGAGCTACGCAGGCTGCAGGGTTCGTGTCTTGTCGTGCTGGGGAAGTGCGGTTAGGCATCTGCTGATAGAGTAACGTCACTGAAAATTGTTTTGCGTCGATCGGAGTTCTTTTGGGCCGACTGAAGGCGATAAGGCATTTGCTAGCATTATGATGTCACTGGTATTTGACTGGGTATGTGACGTCACTGGTCGTGAGGTTTCAGGACTCCTTTGGGTTAAGTAAATGCCTTAAGACATCATCTGACGATATGGCCACCGGTATTCGATTAAACATCAGGCGCAACAGGCCTTATTCCATATTTACCGTTCATACCTATCTGCTGCAAGGATTTACGTGCCGAATAAAGGTTTCGCAGAATCACCTGAATGTGTGACGTCACTGATCATTACTTGATATGAGTGCACTTAGGCCCCACGGCCACGGTGAATGCCCCACTTCCGTGAAGTATCACCGGATAGCGTGACGTCACTGGTATTCGACTTAGTATTGGTCGCAACAGACCATGCTTCATTTTTACCTTCTTACCTGCCTACTGCAAGCATTGGCGTAATGAATGAAAGCTACCGAATCACCTGAGTGTGTGACGTCACTGGTCATGAGTTTCACCGGCGTTTTTGGGCTCACTGAAGGCTACATGGTATCAGCTAGGCACGTCACTGCTATACGACTGATTGTGTGGCGTCAATGATCGTGGGTTTTCACGGGCTCTTTTGGACCGGCTGGGTGCCGTAACGCATGAGCTGACGATATGACGTCACGGATATTTGGCTGAACATCAGGCAACGGGCCATGCTCCATCTATACCTTTCGTACCTGTATACTGCAAGTATTGGCGCGCTGGAGGGGAGATGGGCCGAATGTCCTGTACATGTGTGACTTCACTGGTCATGAGTTTTTATGGATTTTTGGGGGCCAGCTGGAGGCCATAAAGTATAACCTAACGATGTGAGTCACTGGCATTCGACTGTGTGTGATGTCGCTGGTCATGAGTTTGTACGGATTCGCTTGGGCCGCCCAATACCACAGAACATCATATCCCGTGAAGCATCACGAGATGATATGACGTCACTGGTATTCAATTTCACATCAAGCGCATCAGGCCATGTTCCATCTTTACCTTTGGTACCTGTTTATTGCAAGAATTGGCGTGCCGAATGAAGGCTCTGTCGAGTCTCCTGAGTGTGTAACGTCACTGGCCAAGAGTTTTTTACGGGCTCTTTTCAACCCCCTATAAGGTGTAATGCATCAGCTGACGATATGACGTCACTGGTGTCCGACTTAACATCAGGCGCAGCAGGTCGTGTTCTATCTTTGCCTTTCGCACGTGTAAAAGTATTGGCGAGCTGAATGATGGCTCTGCCGAATCACCTGAGTGTGCGATGTCACTGGTCATGAGTTTTTACAGGTTATTTTTGGCTGAGTGAAAGCCATAAGGCATCTGCTAACGATTCGTCGTCGCTGGTAATCCACGAGTGTGTGACGTCACTGGTCATGAGTTTTTACGGGCCTTTTTGGGCTGACTTGAGGCCATTAGGCATCAGATAACAATATGACGTCACTGAGGTGCAATAAGCCATGTTTCATCTTTGTCTTTCGCAGCTATCTAGTGCAAGTATTCGAGTGTCAGAGAAAGGCTCTGCCGAATCACCTGAGCGTGTGGTGTAACTGGTCATGAAATTACACGGGTTTATTCGGGCTGACTGAAGGACATCAAGCATCATCCGACGATGTGACGTCCCTGGTATTGAGCTAAACAGCTGGCGCGACAGGCGATGTTCGTCTTTAACTTTCGTATTTGTATATTGCAAGCATTGGCGCACTGAAGAAAGGCCCTGTGAAATCTCCCGAGTGTGTAACGTCACTGGTCATGAGTTTCTTACGGGCTCTTTTGAACTCCCGATAGGACATAATACATCTGCTGACCATATGACGCCAATGGTATTCGACTTAACCTCAGGCGCAGCAGGCCATGTTCCATCCTTACCTTTCGTACCTGTCTACTGCAAGCATTCGCGTGCTATATCAAGGCGGTGCCGAATCATCTGAGTGTGTAATGTCACTGGTCATGAGTTTGTACGGATTCACTTGGGCCGCCCAAGGCCACAAAGCATCATGTCCCGTGAAGCGTCACAGAATGATGTGACGTCAGTGTTATTCGACTAACATCAGGTAGAACAGGTCATGTTCTATCTTTACCCTTCGTTGCTGTCTATTACAAGCATTGGCGTCTGAATGAAGGCTCTGTCGAATCTCCTGAGTGTGTAACCTCGCTCGTCATGAGTTTTTCGCGGACTCTTTTGAGCCCCCTATAGGGTATAATGCATCAGCTGACGATATGACATCACTGGTGTTCGACTAAACACCAGGCGCAGCAGGTCATGTTCCACATTTGCGTTTCGTAGCTGTAAAAGTATTGGCGCGCTGAATGATGGCTCTGCCGAATCATTGGAGTATGTGACGTCACTGATGATGAGTTTTTACGTTTTTTTTGGTCGAGTGAAAGCCATAAGGCGTCAGATGACCATATGACGTCACTGGTAGTCCTTTGAGTGTGACGTCACTGGCCATGGGTTTTTGCCGGCCCTTTTGGGCCAACTTAAGGCCAGTACGCATCAGGTAACAATACGACGTCACTGATATTTATGTAAACATCAGGTGCGATAAGCCATGTTTCGTCTTTACGTTTCGCACCTCTCTACTGCAAGTATTCGCGCGCTACATAAAGGCTCTGCCGAATCACCTGAGCATGTGGTGTAACTGGTCATGTGTTTACACGGGTTTACTCGGGCTGACTGAAGGACATCAAGCATCACCTGACGATATGACGTCACTGATATTTGACCAAGCATAAGGTGCAACAGGCCCAACATGCTTCCATATTTACCTTTTGTTTCTGCCAATCGCAGATGTTCGTGTGGTGACCGAAGGCTGTGTTGGATCAAGTGAGTTTATTACAAACTGGCCATGATAGGTCAGGTCAGGTCTACAGGTCCATACAGGTGTACAGGTTCAAGATATCTTACAGGTCTACAGGTCCGCTGTATGTGCTTCGTAGGCCGTGGTGGCGTGCAGATCTGATCAGATGCTGACGGCCGAAAGGTAAAGAGTCCGCTTATGCCCATGAACGACTCTGTTGGTAATTCGGGATTGGCTTACTGGAATGATATCTTGTTCAGAAATGATAACATCCTTTCGTCCACCATATGAGGGAAATTATCTGCACATTCTTAAAATGGTGCGATTGGTAGTTGCAACGATTGAGACTATATCGGTTCTTCATAAGTGGAATATATGGTTAGCCTCATAAATCATTTTGTTAGGTATTAAGCTGTTTATGTTGGATGTGTCATTGAACAGGTCCTGCCACCCTTGCTTCTGTCAGCTACCTCAGATGGACCTCGATTCGGTATGCCCTCTACCTAAATGGGGCAGTTGGCCCACACATTTGTGTGTGGGACATCCCTCTGTCTGTTGTTCAGGCATCTATCTGATCAGGTGTTTTGCTTTGCTTCACCAGGCTTGGGACACATATCTCACTGGGATGGGATTACCTCTTTGTCTTGCCTGTGGGTGCAAATTTATGGTTACTTTTGTACTGTCACGTGCATGCCCGTTGGATTTTGAGAAATACTTGTACCCATGATAGCTGGCTCTCTGTACTCATGTATCCTCCTTGCATCTACCAGTGCATGTCTGTCACATCTTGAGCTGACCACTCCCACAATTCCCAACTGACCTATGGGGACAACAAAGTTGAATTCCATGCGATCCTAGCTTTGGTTTTATGAGCCAAAGTTCTGGTAATTCAATTTTAGTGACCAATCAACTACATTAGTGTGGTGGCTAACTTTTTCATTTAAGCCATATCTTGGCAAAGGCATAAATGACCAGGCATAGGAAATCATCAGCATGTTCAGGTGCTCATGTAGATACACTAAGAATATGCAACAAAGATATAATTTATGCCAAATTATATCATTTTCTATTAAACTTTGCTTCCCTCTATCCACAGAAGGTTGCTTCAAACTTTGCCTAACCTGTTCTCTTTCTGACTTGAGGTGGCCCTTCACTAACTGTCTAGGGCAAGTGCATGCATGCCTGGTACCATTCATTTCCTGTGTGGGTGTTAGCTGATTGTACTGTTTGCATGTACAGTGTGTCTGTCATCTTGTTATGACAACATGCACATAGCTCCATTCATTGGCAATTACCCAAAGAGCTGTCAGCATGCACAGTGTACCTGCGCCACCTTGTACTGCATGGACCCGATCTTGTACTGTCATCATGCATGGGTGAATGTATGTGGACTCCACCTGCTTCTGATCTGTGATGTCTCCCCAGCCTCCTCACCGGCCGGCGCCGTCCCGCTCGCCGGACGAGGATGAGGGCCTCACGCCCGGCCCGGGCGCCGGCGTGCGGGTCGAGGAGTTCGCAGAGACGGTACTAACTGAGATCGGTGCGCAGCTGGAGCGACTCTCGGCCGGCGCCGACACCGTCTGCGACGAGAAGCGCGCGCAATTGGTGGCGTTGTACCGCCGCCAGCCGCCGGCGCCAGCTACCGCCGACTGCACGCTGACGGAACGACTGTGGGGCGCCACAGGCGTCGGGGGCGGCGGCGGCGGTGCGAGCCAGCCGCCACCACCGCCACCACCAGACCTGAACAAAGACGACGTCGAGTTCGTGCTGCAGGTGTGCACAAGCAGTCAGGAGGACTCGGCGCTCGAGCAGGATCCGATCCGCTTCCTGAAGTTGGCCGAGGCGGTGACCGACGGCGACCGCGCCGGCGGCACCGACTGGCTGGATGCGACGCCGGCGCGCGGCGCGCCGCTGCGCCAGTGCGACCTGCTGCGCTTACGGAGCAGCGCGCCGCCGCGGCCAGCCTCGCCGGCGCCGGCCGGCGGCGTCGGCTGGCTGGAGGCGGCCGACGTGGCGCCGGCGGTCTGGTCGGACTGGCGCGGTGGAGGAGATGTTTTGGACGTGCTGGACGTATCGAGGCCGCGCTGGGACGCGCCCTGCCGTAGCCCGCCGCGAAAGAGCTCAGACCTCCGCTGCCAGTGCCGACCCATGACACCAGACTCCCGATATCGGATTGAACCCCCTGTTCCAGGGATGGCCTCCAGCACCAAGCGTTTGGTACTAGAGCTGACAGCCGGGCTGTGACCAAAGAGGTGGTTGGTGAGACAGGATAATTGGACGGTGGAGCGATGGCTGGTTGCTTCGTTCATTATGTACTCTTGGTTGTGGTTCGGAGCGTCCAGTGCTTGTTCGATCGAGATGGGAGTGTAATGCGATCGTTGCAGTATGCTTGTTCAGTGTTCATAGATCGTGAAGACGCTGTGTTTGCGTTAGTGTAAAATTACATATGATCCGAAATTATGGAACGTTTAAGGATGGCGTAAGGGTTCGCTGGGTTTTGGAGTGGATTTGTGCTTTTATGTCCCCACTTTGTGTGAACGAATGTTTTAGTGGAATGCATTGTGACCTGCAAGCGTCGATGACGTATTTGTGCGTTGTGTTCAATTTGTTCCTTCACAAACTGCCTGCACAGTTCTGTTTATATCTCATGGGGTTGTTAAATATGTTCTGATTTGGTCGGGCATTGTGAAACAACGGTAGCACTGAGCAACCGCATGGAGCCGTGATGTTAATAGTCGGTAATGCAAGCGGGTATAATGCTCGCAATTATCATTGTGAGTGTATGGTTTAGCGAAATAAAGGACTGATACCTATGGCGCGGCCAACAAGTACTATAAATAGATCAAACTCAATGCCCACATCCACGCTTTCACAGCAGCTTCGGTAGTTTTTTTTATGTCGCGCAGTGTGGCGTGGCAGCCCGGCACCCTCTCCCTTTCTTTGGTAGTGGGGCATGACACGACGCGTGGAGATGCACCTGATGGATGAGACGAGGCACTTCTCACTTTCCTGCCTGCTCTTGCAGCACCTCGAGCACAAACACTCGCTGAAGGCGAGCGGCACGGGCAGAGGCGCGCACACCACACGCGAACGCGCACGCCAGCGCGTGCTCACCTGCATAGCCACATGTACGTGCGCACACGCCGACTCACACGCACATAGGCGCCCCGCGCCCATTCTTACATGCCCGGCTGGAGGCGACAGTGCCGGGCGCTGCTTCGGTAATGCGGCCGTGAGTCATGCTGGGTGCTCTTTTCAGATGGCCGGTACCGCTGATCGGATTGAGGGATGGGCCGACAAGTGGTCGGCGGACATCATCCCGTTCCACCAGGGTGATGTCAACCCGTGCCTCATAAAGTGGTGCTTCAAGCTGGCGCACGACGACCAGCCGCGCAAGTTCCTGGTGCCTCTCTGCGGCAAGTCCGTCGACATGATGTGGTGGGTTCACGGCTGCTCTGCGCGGTGGTGTCTCGCGGCTCTGCACGTTGGTTGGCGATGGCTGACGCCTCAGGCCGGCAGCGCGATGTACCAGGGACCCGAGCCAGCTCGCAGTTTGGGACACATTCGTGGCGCGAAACATGTGGGCGACTTCGCAGCGCGAAATCAGCGGCGCCATTTTTTTGAAGGCGACGACTGGTCTGCCTGCTATCACTATGGATCATATCACATCATATGGATCATATCACTATGATGATATGATCATATCACTACACACATCATATGGATCATCATATGGATCATATCACTATGATGATATGATCATATCACTACACACATCATATGGATCATCATATGGATCATATCACTATGGATCATATCACATCATAGGACGCTACCCTATGATGAGCTATCCACCGCACGGGACCACTAGTGTTGAAAGTATGTTTCTTTCTCGCTGTGTCGTGGGACAGCAACGCTTTCCCCTGACCCAATGGGACAATCCGTCACAGGCTGTACAAGAAAGGGCACACCGTCGTCGGCATAGAGGGTGTGGAGAAGGCTATCGTCCAGTTCTTCACGGAAAACGACCTGAAGTATACGAAATCGCCCACCGGAGCTGGACAGCTGTTCCAGGTACATGTGAACCATCGCGGTACCGCAGATGTTTACTGAAGCCACGTAGTTTTGATGCGCGATGGAATCGTGAGAACTCCAGGACAACACTTCAGTTGTGGGGATGGGATTTGCTCCAGTGTTGTTTATCGTCGTAAGATGTTCGGGCAAATGTCCAGAAGACGGTCTTGAATTTTACCAAGGCTGTGGAATTTTCGTAGAAAAATTCGCCATATGAACGTAAAGCACCAACTCACACGTAATTGGTCATTTAGCCAAAATTATGATCAGAAAAGGGGCGGAGGCAGATGTCAAAATTTCTCCTCAGCTCAGAATTTGTACGAAATGCCCAAGAAATCGCCAAGAATCCAGCATAAAGCTTTCGCCCAAGGGAGGACGTTTGTGGCCTTGCCGTTGGCTACGTCCCTGCTCGCGACTGGGGACGCGGTGACGTAAACGCAGCAGTCATTCACAACCGTTTAGCTGGCCCAGGGACACATCATTACCGGTATACAGCACACGGTCGTGTCACGTGACTGCCGCCGCTCATCGCCATCGTGTCACATGACGGTGCCTGCAGACAGCGGACGGCCGCCTCCAGCTGCACCAGGCCGATATCTGCGAGATGGATCCGGGGCTGATCGGTCCCGTAGACGCCATCTGGGACCGCGGCTCCTACGTGGCAATCTACTGCGAGGACAGGCCCAAGTGAGCCCGCCGGGTAACGACGCTAACAGCCTCAGACGAATGCGTCAGGTTGCAGAGGCAGTGGTGCTGTTGCATCCCACCACCTTGTCTCCCCAGTTGCAAATGAGGTCTCCCATATACGACAGAGCACATATGCATCTGTGTGCAGGGAACTCTCCCAACCTGAATCAGTTTGGTGATGAATGACTCCAAATAGAGGAGGAGCAAAGAACATAATGCGGAATAAATGGGTATCGTGTGCGGAAACTGATTCTAAGCGTCGGCCACCCTTTCCAAACCTGAAAGAAACCGAGAAAAAAATGTTAGGAATTAAAAAAGGCGTCTGTTTCCCCCATTTTCACCATTTTTAAACAAGTGGTGATCGAAAGGTGGCAAGCAGTCAGCGTTCCGCGATGCCCTTTGTCGGTTTGACCCCAGGCTTCACCTGGTGATTCACCTGGACTCCTGCACCAGGTACGCCAAGTTCATGAAGGGCGTGATGTCGCGCAAGTGCCATTACCTGCTGTCGGCGGTGGAGTACGACTCCAGCCTGTTCTCCGGGCCGCCCCGCCATCTCTCCGAGGATGACATTAAGAACGACTGCGGTACGGACCGGCCTGCTGCTCTTCGGGCCGCGTGCTACGTGATCGAGATGAGATGGGACATGCGTCGCGCATTGCTGCTGACGCGCGCGATGCAACTTTGCCCGTTGCCCGTTGAGATACTTTCCGCCGTTTCTCCTGTCTGAAACAATTGGTAGTAAAAAATGCATGTTGAGAGAGAGAGAGAGAGAGAGAGAGAGAAGAGAGAGAGAGAGAGAGAGAGAGAGAGAGAGAGAGAGAGAGAGAGAGAGAGAGAGAGAGAGAGAGAGAGAGAGAGAGAAGAGAGAGAGAGAGAGAGAGAGAGAGAGAGAGAGAGAGAGAGAGAGAGAGAGAGAGAGGAGAGAGAGAGAGAGAGAGAGAGAGAGAGAGAGAGAGAGAGAGAGAGAGAGAGAAGAGAGAGAGAGAGAGAGAGAGAGAGGAGAGAGAGAGAGAGAGAGAGAGAGAGAGAGAGAGAGAGAG